GGGGGAGGGGGGGGTGTCGGGGAGTGGGGGAGATGGGGAGACACGTGCTGCTCCTGAATGGCCGGAGGGGCAGGAGGTGTATGTGAAAAGAAAAAAATCCTAGCAATGACTTAAAATACCTTCTTTTTTGCTATTTCCAGTTATATATTTGAGAAATCTGAAGTGAGCGAGCGTTGATTTGGAAGGTAAGTCGTATTGCACGAATAATAGCTTGTTAGTTGTCCTTGTAAGGCTCTGCTTAAATAGTTACACGTTTCTCTTCAATTTATACCTAAAATGAGCTTGAGCTGTTTCTCAGTGGCTCTGGGAAACCGAATTAGATCGGATTGGAGTATTTGAATACTGATGCAGACTTTGTAGGCATTGTTTAGCAGCAAAAGCTTAATTTAGGCGTTCCCTAGCATTTAAGATTTTGTTGGTCTACGGATGGATGGGACAAAGAGCAGATTCCTGAATCCCCTTCAAAAGGAGGAGGAAATCCTTGGCGAAGTGGAGATAAACGATATCTTTTTGAATAGTTCAAGGCCTTCATTGTCTGATATGGGAATTAAAGAAGGAGCAGAAGCAATCTTGGTAGAAAGAAATAATGGCATAGATCTCTGTAATTGCCCATTCTCGCGTGTTAATCCGTAAAAAGGGACTTTTACCCTCTGGAAAGAGGAATGTAGCATTAATGGGGAGCACTGGGGCGATTCTGGGGTGAAAGCACATGGTGGGCACATGTCACACTTGCTTAAGACTGGGAACACGTGGGTGGATTTCACCTCATCATCAGGTATCTAATAGGTTTAGTGCTTCTCACCGAGCAGAAGCTAAATTTTATTATTTTTTTTTCTTAATTGTTGCAGATACTGGTGCCTGATTGCATCGAGATGCTGACAACAGAAAAGAATCCATGTGTCTAGTGGGAGAGGGTGAGTATATTGAGAGAATTGGCCCCAGTAATAAATGGAGGTGATAGCTAAGGGTCAGTTCATGCGGTATCTGGAGTCAAAATGTAGCCCCAGAGATGAGAACGGGCTGGAAGATCCCCACAAATGAGAATAAAAGGCCTGATTCTGTGGTGGGTTGTGCAGCTGCTGAATGGGAAAGCCAATAAAGCCATGGGGCTGGGGTGAATTTGGTGTTGCCTTAAAGGCACCACGAAAAAAGAAAAAAGCCACCCTAGATGGCTGGCCCACCAGGAAGGAGCTGCCTTTGGGGTGTTCTCAAAGGGTGGGAGCCCGGGGTATGAAAAAGCAAGAAAAAGAAGCCATGTGTGGACTTGGACTTGCCACCAGCTGGTCTGTGGACCCACGTCCCCCCCCAGCAGTGGGGCCACCCTCACATGTCACACTTGCTTAAGACTGGGAACACGTGGGTGGATTTCACCTCATCATCAGGTATCTAATAGGTTTAGTGCTTCTCACCGAGCAGAAGCTAAATTTTATTATTTTTTTTTCTTAATTGTTGCAGATACTGGTGCCTGATTGCATCGAGATGCTGACAACAGAAAAGAATCCATGTGTCTAGTGGGAGAGGGTGAGTATATTGAGAGAATTGGCCCCAGTAATAAATGGAGGTGATAGCTAAGGGTCAGTTCATGCGGTATCTGGAGTCAAAATGTAGCCCCAGAGATGAGAACGGGCTGGAAGATCCCCATAAATGAGAAGAAACGCCTGGTCGTGTGGTGGGTTGTGCAGCTGCTTAGTGGGAAAGCCAATAAAGCCATGGGGCTGGGGTGAATTTGGTGTTGCCTTAAAGGCACCACGAAAAAAGAAAAAAGCCACCCTAGATGGCTGGCCCACCAGGAAGGAGCTGCCTTTGGGGTGTTCTCAAAGGGTGGGAGCCCAATGTATAAGAATACAAGAAAACAAAGCCACGTGTGGACTTGAACTTGCCACCAGCTGGTCTGTGGACCCACATCCCCCCCCCAGCAGTGGGGCCATCCGTGGTACCAGCTGCCAGGGAAGGTGTGAGTTGGCTCCAGCGTGGGGAGGACATTCCAGGGGGAATTAGTAGTAGCAGAGGGGACAGCACATGGGATGTGGGCACGAGCAGGAATTTGTCCATCTGTGTTATGGAAACAAAACCTTAAAATATTGATTGATTGTATTAGTAGTAGCAGAGGGGACAGCACATGGGACGTGGGCATGAGCAGGAATTTGTCCATCTGTGTTACGGAAATAAAACAAAACAAAATATTGATTGATTGTAAATGTATGCCTAGCTGTGGGAGAGAATTAAATAAACGTAACTATTTTTGGCTCGATGTGCATTTCTTTGTGAGTGATTTGCCTCGTTAGTGCTGGAATGTGAAAGAAATTGTGGATACTCCTACAGGTGCCTCTCAGTTGGAGTCAGAAGTGGGATTCCTGTGGGATAATCGTGTCTCCTCTCCTGAGTATGATGGTGAGAGGTGCAGAAACCCACCTCAGACCCATGTTACTTGCTGCTCGGGCTGGGCTAGGAGCAGGTGATAAAAAGTTTTGGGGCCAGATAAACCTTTATATTAAACATTAAGGGCTGAAAACCCAGAGTGGTTAATGGTGTGAACCCCAGGTCTGCTGCCAGGGGGTGGGTGTTCCTCTGCAGAGGAGCAACGCGGATGGCATCAGCAGCTTCTGTGAAGCTTAAATAAAGGGCTAAATGTGCCTAAATAAAGGGTTAAAATACTGATTAATGAGTTAGCTACTGCCTGCCCCCAGCAGTTGGCTGGATATCCTACTCCTGAAAGCCGACAGGTAATGGACATGTCTGCCTGCCCCCAGCAGTTGGCTGGATATCCTGCTCCTCCTGGAAGCCAACAGGTAATGGACATGTGTCAAGAGTCCAGGGTTGTCCCCCTCTGGAAGGGTTTTCTGGTCACCTGGGCCACCAGCTGCAGGAGCGGGAGAATAAAACTGGGTTTTCCAGTTTCCAGTGGGATGATGGAAAGGTGGGGCGGTCTTGAAGGTGAAGGTGGAGGGGGATGTTCGTGGGGGTGAACCCTGTGGCCAGCAGGCTGTGCCCCCAGTAAGCAAACCCCCTCAGTCGAGGTGCAGAAACCCACCTCAGACCCATGTTACTTGCTGCTCGGGCTGGGCTAGGAGCAGGTGATAAAAAGTTTTGGGGCCAGATAAACCTTTATATTAAACATTAAGGGCTGAAAACCCAGAGTGGTTAATGGTGTGAACCCCAGGTCTGCTGCCAGGGGGTGGGTGTTCCTCTGCAGAGGAGCAACGCGGATGGCATCAGCAGCTTCTGTGAAGCTTAAATAAAGGGTTAAATGTGCCTAAATAAAGGGTTAAAATACTGATTAACGAGTTATCTACTGCCTGCCCCCAGCAGTTGGCTGGATATCCTACTCCTGAAAGCCGACAGGTAATGGACATGTCAGAGTCCAGGGTTGTCCCCCTCTGGAAGGGTTTCCTGGTCACCTGGGCCACCAGGAGCAGGAGAATAAAACTGGGTTTTCCAGTTTCCAGTGGGATGATGGAAAGGTGGGGCGGTCTTGAAGGTGAAGGTGGAGGGGGATGTTCGTGGGGGTGAACCCTGTGGCCAGCAGGCTGTGCCCCCAGTAAGCAAACCCCCTCAGTGAGCCAAATCATGTTTAGGTTTTATCTTCTAATTGTAATAATGAGAACCAGAAAGTTCCAAAGTTCCTATAACTGGACTATTAGGAGTCCTTAGTCCAGGGTTGTCCCCCTCTGGAAGGGTTTTCTGGTCACCTGGGCCACCAGCTGCAGGAGCGGGTCACCTGGGCCACCAGGAGCAGGAGAATAAAACTGGGTTTTCCAGTTTCCAGTGGGATGATGGAAAGGTGGGGCGGTCTTGAAGGTGAAGGTGGAGGGGGATGTTCGTGGGGGTGAACCCTGTGGCCAGCAGGCTGTGCCCCCAGTAAGCAAACCCCCTCAGTGAGCCAAATCATGTTTAGGTTTTATCTTCTAATTGTAATAATGAGAACCAGAAAGTTCCAAAGTTCCTATAACTGGACTATTAGGAGTCCTTACCAGCCACAGCTTCTCTGGGCAACCTGGGCCAGGCTCTCGCCACCCTCACAGCAAAGAATGTCTTTCTGGTATCTAATCTAAATCTCCCCTCTTTCAATTTAAAACTGTTATCACTCAACTTTCTTGATCTCCCCTTTTTCAGTTTAAAACCATTATCACTCTATCTTGTAAAGAGTCCCTCCCCAGCTCTCCTGTAGCCCCCTTTAGGGACTGGAAGGGGCTCTGAGGTCTCCCCAAAGCCTTCTTTTCTCCAGGCTGAACAACCCCAGCTCTCAGCCTGTCTTCACAGCAGAGGGGCTCCATCCCTCTGATCATCTTCATGGCCCTCCTCTGGACCCGTTCCAACAGGTCCATGTCCTTCCTGTGCTGAGGACTCCAGAGCTGGACACAGAGCTCCAGGTGGGGTCTCACCAGAGCAGAGGGGTAGAATCCCTTCCCTGGCCCTGCTGGCCACATTTCTCTTGATGCAGCCCAGGATGCACGTTTCTGGGCTGTCAGTGCACGCTGCTGGCTCCTGTTGAGCTTCTCATCCACCAACACCCCCAAGTCCTTCTCCTCAGGGCTGCTCTCCAGCCATTCTCCACCCAACCTGGATCTGTGCCATGTCCCAGGTGCAGGACCCTGCACTTGACTTGGTTGAACTTCATGCCATTTGCACGAGCCCACCTCTCCAGGCTGTCCACGTCCCTTTAGATGCCATCCCTTCCCTCCAGCGTGTTGATGACACCACACAGCTTGGTGTCATCGGCAACCTCACTGAGGGTGCGCTCGATCCCACTGTCCATGTCTCCAACAAAGATGAACAGCACTGGTCCCAGTACCAACCTCTGAGGAACACCACTCGTCACTGGCCGCCACTTGGACATTGAGCCATTGACCACAACCCTTTGAGTGCCACACAGCAAGACCTGGAGAGCTGGGCAGGGAGGAACTGGATGAAATTCAACCAAGGCAAGTGTAGGGTGCTTCACCTGGGGAGGAGTAACCCCCTGCACCAGGACGGGTTGGGGGGGACCTGCTGGAGAGCAGCTCTGAGGAGAAAGACCTGGGAGTCCTGGTGGACACCAGGATGCCCATGAGCCAGCAATGGGCCCTGGTGGCCAAGAAGACCAATGGCATCCTGGGGGGCATCAGGAAGAGTGTGACCAGCAGGTGGAGGGAGGTCACCCTGCCCCTCTGCTCTGCCCTGGGGAGGCCCCAGCTGGAGCACTGGGACCAGTTCTGGGCTCCCCAGTTCAAGAAGGACAGGGAACTGCTGGAGAGGGGACAGCAGAGGCTACAGAGATGATGAGGGGCCTGGAGCATCTCTCTGCTGAGGAAAGGCTGAGGGACTTGGGGCTTTTTAGTCTGGAGAAGAGAAGACTGAGGAGGGATCTCATCAACGCCTATAAATACTTAAAGAATGGGTGTCAGGAGGATGGGGCCAGTCTTTT